TTGTTGAAAATCATCGATTGGAACATCGTGTTTCCATGTTTTTCTCTCTTTGTTGTCCGAAAAACCGGTATGGGTCTAGTAATTTTTTTTCTTTTTCCTTTCTTCCAAGCTCTACTCTTCCCTCTGAAAACCCAGAAAATCTGTGTGGGTTTCAGTAATTGATTTGGTGTAACGGGAAATAACAGGAATAGCGGTTCGTTATCACTGTGATCGGCCGTTACCCGTTAAGTTGTGGCCACTATCGGTGTGATTCCGCTTCACACCGCTATTTTTTACAATAGCAGTATCAGACGACAACGCTACCGCTAAATAACAGCCGTTATGGCGTTTGCGCTCCGCTATTTAAAATACTGATCAAAATAATTCCCAGTTCAAACAAAAAGGAACCCGGCAATAGGGGGCTACTGGTTCAAGAACCTTTGGCTAAATGACAAGTATTTGGAAATTATTTTAGGTTTCCAAGTGCATGGTGACGTGAGCAAGATCCTAAAATATAGTTATCAATTATGTAATGGATACATGGAAAATAATAAACTAGATAGAGAAACGATGTACAATTCTTGAATTCGAAAAAAGGTGACGGCAGTAGCCATCCAAGGCCAATGGAGGTGAGCATGGCCCAAATCCGACCGTTCACGCCTACCCACGAGAATCCCCAACCAACGGTCGGTCAAAAAACAACCACGATAATCGTGAAAGGCGGTGGGGCGATGAGAGTTTTTGATTTTCCTTACCGAGATGAACAAATCCAATGATGACGACAGCAAGCGAGAGCATCGGTTCAGTGGTATACTCTAGTGTATTGGTTCAACTAAACGACTTGAACGAAAGAAAGCCATGGAGAGAATAAACGAACATGACACAAATAAATAACAGAATGAAAAAAATGAAGCAGAGTGCTAGGCGCAAGGAAATAAAAGAAGAGTTAGGATTGTGATATCATAAAAAAATTGGGTAAACTGCATCATAAGTCCTTAAATTTTCTAAGGTTTTGAAATGGCCAATGTTTTGATCCTTTTACAAAACAGTCACCAAACTTTTTGAAAATTTTAATTTAGACATTAAGTCCAATTTAGGGATTTTAATGGGAACTCCCAATTTTTAGGGTTTCAAATTTAGGAGAAAATTAGGGTATTATAATTCTCACATCCTTAAAGAAATTTCGATCTTGAAATTAATCGGAATTGAAATTAGGATGATGTAAAGAAATAACATCGGACTTATCTCGATCCTTATGCCTCCGTATAACATATACCAATCTAAATCGCGACACTGTCAATCTAGCTAAACCTTTACTCTGAGTCGTTCTATCTTTATTAGTTGAACCCAAACTAGTAGGTCTATCTTGCTCTCTACCTCTAATTAGTTTCTAAACTGACATTGACCTTAATCGATTATTAATCGAGAACTCATATGGGATGACATAGTGAACTATCTATAAATGGCAGAATCCTAAGGTCGGAGTTGATACTTGGAGTTCCGAATCAAAACATCTATTTACCCTTTTCAAAATAAAAATAAGTAAAGACAAAAAAAATAATTTTCTTTCGCAAAATTCCATTTTAACCCGAAAATATTTATATGCATGCAAAAATTGTTTTTTGGTCCAATATTTTATGATCAAGTTTTACAGTTCGAGGGTTGAATCTAGCTCTGAACCATTAAATATAATCATCTTTTACCCGACCTAGATTAAACCGACTTGATCTAGAAAGCCCATTAACTAGGTTTCCCAAAAATTTACCCAATCATTATTTAAATACATCAAAATTGACCACCGCATTTACTATTTTGAAATACATAAAGTAATCGAAATAAATCAACAATAATTAAAACATAAATTAAACATTTTTAAAATTCAAAGTTCCAGTCCAACATTCAAAACAAAATTTATGTTCAATGTCCCAAAATATTTAAACATGTTAAATATTATCCAAATAAAAGAATAATAAAATAAGAAATAGAAAATCTGAATAAAATTTCATACTATTAAAGTAACAAAAACGAAATAATATCGTAATTCCAAGTACTGATTCTCTTAACTCGAGTATCTAAAAAAGAGAAACTAAGGGGTGTATGCTAATAAGCTTAGTGTATCTTAAAAGTGCAAACAAACTCAAGTCATATCACAATCCGAATTAAACAATATTAATCAAATTTCGAATCAAACAATATTAATCATATTATGAATCAAACGGTAATAATCAAATATTTGCATGATATGCAAATTCTCATGCACCCACCTACACTCCTGTCAGACAATCCGAAAAGCGAGTTCCTTAGAACCACATTATCTACAATCAAACCATACCATATGAAGTGGGGTCCACCATAGAGGCAAAGGCCATTGATTCCGAAAGTGAAATTCTCCCCGTCGAGTAAATGTCCTGAACTTTCCTTATCAAAATTCGTTCTAATATGACATGCATATGACATACATATCCGATGTCTGATCTTATCCGAAGAACACATATCCGAATAACATATATCTGAATAACACATATCCAAATAACATATATATCCAAATAACACATATCCGATTAATATATATATTCGAATAACACATATCTGAATTTTAATCTAATCTGAATGTAATGAATACATATACAAATAATCCAAATGCATCTGATAAATTTGAGTCCAACATATCAACATATTTCACATAACATTTTTTAAACAAATACTAAATAATCAACAATTACAAATCAATCATACCCTCATGTTAACAACAAATAAGCCAAACAATAAAAACAACGCATTGAATTTAGCACTAAATAGAGACACACCTCAATAAAATAGTTAATGAAGATAGTAAAATCTATCACGATCAACCCGAGTAGTGGATCGACTTGAATCAACTTCTAAGCCAAAAGTTTTTGCCAAATCACTATTCTAACGAACCAACCAAAATAAATTACTCGAACTAAATAAATTACCTGAACTAACATATTACACTATTACTCACGATCCATCCTCGAAACACGATTCAATACTAACCGAGCTGATATGGGAGGAGGAGACGAAAATTCTGGTTCTTGATTCGATTTCTCTTGTAAAAATACGTTAAAAAAATGGCTGTCCCTTTTTCTCATATATATGGGGTAGGGGAGGTAAGATAGTAGGCTACCCCCAACACTAGATTGAGAGCAGCTTCCGTAAGAGACCTCCGAATTATGAAATACCCTCCGTGGGACTCGATCCCACGATCTCAATGTTAAGAACCTTGTGCTCTACCAACTGAGCTGGATGGTCATTTCCTTGTAAAAATACGTTAGTTAACTCAAAATCCCCAATCATTCAATTTCCTGATTAACGTAATATCAAAACAATTCCAAGTTTGAACAAAAAGGAATCGGGTAGTAGAGTGCCCGTCCAAAAATGGGGTTTCTAGTTCAAGAGCTTTTGGCTAAATGACAAAAGTATTTGGAATTTCTTTGAGATTTCCAAGTGCATGGTGACGTGAGCAGGATCCCAAAATATAGTTATCAATTATGTTGGAAGCATGGAAAATTACCGTGATACTAAACCAGAGGGAGAGATGATGTACAGTTCTTGGATTCGAAAAAATGTGACGACATTAGCCATCCATGGTCGACAGAGGTGAGCACGGATCGAATCCGGCCAGTCAGGCCTACCCACGAGAAGCCCCAACCAACGGTCGGTTAAGAACAACCACGACAATCGTGAGAGGCGATGGGGCAATGAGAGTTTTTGATTTTCCTTATCGAGATGAACAAATCCAACGATGACAATGGCAAGGGAGTGCGTCGATTCAATGGCCTGCTCTGGTGCATTAGTTCGACTAAACGGCGTGAACGAAAAAAAACACAAGAGAGAATAAATAAAAACGACACAATGAAATAAAAGAAAGAAAAAGATGAAGCAGAGTGGGCGACGCAAGGAAATAAAAGAAGTGTTGGGTAAATTGCATCATAAGTTCTTAAATATTCTAGGATTTTTGAAATGACCAAAATCTTTGATCTTTATACAAAATAGTCACCAAACTTTTTACAAATTTTAATTTAGTCACTAAATCCAATTTAAGAATTAAAAAGGAAATTCCTAATTTTTAGGGTTTTAAATTTAGGGATAAATCTGGGTGTTACACACTTCCAACTCCTTGTTTTTTTTTATTTCTGTACATTCCTCTCATCATCCTCTCTTAGATTCTTCGTGTAGTTGTGACCTTGCAATGTTCTTTACATTGAGACTTCCCATGTACTTTGGAACTTCGGTGTCACTAGGCAATGTTCCTTGTGGTCTATTGCTCATAGCCTTTGCTAGTTTTCCCATTTGATTCTCTAAAGCTATTAGAGCTGATGTTTGGCTTTAGATCACAGATTTATTCCTTGAGATGTATTCTTTCAACAAAGTTTCAAAAGAAGTCAAGGTTGAAGCTTGCTTAGAATGTTATCATTGGTAATTCTACTCGTTGTGACATTGTTGTGATTGCATTATCTGATGTTGTGACTGATGCTAGGGCATCATCTACTACTGATTGTATTACTACTATGGTTGATAATGCTATTGCGTATTCACGAAGTTTGATTAGAATGTCATATTAGGATTTTCCACATTTTGGTTTCTCTACGACAAATTAGGGTGATTCCGATAATTGTAATTGTAAGTATTCCCATATGTGTTGGTGTCATCATTTCTATTGTAATTCCTCATAATATACACACACAAGATTCAATCGATATAACCTTCACCTTATACATTGCTCCAGGCTTTTGCATCTTCTTAAAAATTTTAGTCAATGTTGCCATATGTGTAGCCATCGTATTAATAGCATCATTATCTACTGCTACAGTATTGCGTCTATTTGACATATTCCTTATATTGAGATATTGATAGCCATTGTTAGATATCCTTTTAAGGATGTTGTAGGCTTCATTGTAGCTTTTATCTAGCAATGCTCCATTAGAAAAAGCATCAACAACCATTTGCATTTACATATTTAATCTACTGTAAAACATTTTCATTTGCGTCCAATGCTAAAACCATACATTAGGCATTTGAGTTGCAAATCCTTGAAACGATCCCAACCTTCATATAGGTTTTCATCCTCCATGTGCTTGAATGACGTGAGATCATTTCTCGGCTTAGCATTCATGTTGGGATGGTTGAAACGCAACAAACTTTTTTTGCTAACTCACTCCACGATGGTATAACACCAGACAATAGTGAATTGAGCCATAATTTAGTTTTTTCATGGAGTGAGTGGGGAAATAACTTCAACTTCAATGCTTCCTCTATTATTCATTGTTGTATGAAAGAGTCACATACTTCCATTAATGCTCTAAGGTTTGCTCTAGGATATTTGGTAAATGAACTGCTACACTGCCCCATTAACTACAACATCTAAAACATTCGTTGACTTCAACTCAAAATAGGCAGCATGGATGGCATGTCTCACGATGCTAGGATATAGATCATCCAAAGTAGGCACAAAAAGTATTCACGAATTGGTTTGTTGCGATCATTGATGCTGTAAGAGTTCGACTAATTAATTCCAATTCCAACTGACAATTCCTCTTCATCGTGTTGTAATGGTGGCAAAGCATTGTTACCATCACCCGCGTTCATGTTTGCTTGATTATGAGCTTCTTGTCTATGACGTTGATGTAATGTACATTTAATTCCAGGATCAAAATGCTCTAAGTTTTGATTGTCTTAGTGGGTCATGCACCAGTAAATCAAAATGAAAAAAAGGTACCTACAAACTGAAAATAAACAAAGTTAGTGAAAATAAAAAATAAAACAACTCTAATGAAATACCATTGCTCCCCGAAAATGGCGCCAAATACTTTACGCTACAATAAATTTTATAACCATCACGCAAGTGTATGTATCATATTCAAGTAGTAAAGTGGATACTACAAGAACATAAGATGTTGAACACACAAATAACGAATGCCAACAAAGAGTTGTAATTTTGAGTAACAAAAGATATTTGGATGAAATAATAAAACAATGAAAAGGTAGAAAAGTAATTAAAATTAGGAAGGAATTGTCAGTCAGTGCAACAATATTTCAGAGAGCAATAAATCAAGGGATTAACATATGTAACTATCATTTGAAAGTTTTCATTATGATAATGCTAAGGAAGATGCATTTATGTGACTTGCAAAGATTAACCCTATTTAATCACTTAAAATCAATTTTCATCAATCCAAATGATTAAATAGTTAACAATGCAACGACTATTGACAACACATGTTTCTATATGCTACTTATTTTCGCAATGCCAATGTTGCAAGAAATTAGTATGCAAAATCAATAAATTTCATTTCAAAAAATTAGGAAAGTCACTTACATAAAGATAAATTCATTTCTAAACGCATGTTATAAAAGCTATAGCACATGAAAACAAACCATAAGCAATAATCACAATAAAAACATTTCATTGAACGCTTTAAGTTCAAAACCAATCAACATTTGAAATAAAGAAATATTTTAAGTTAATAAATGTCACTTCCCTTTTTCAAGAAAAATGATGAAAACTAAAATAGAACTCCACTTTATCACAACTTCTACACGGCAGTGCTCCTCCAACTACTGATACACTTCCTGGCGGAGGGTTTAGGTGGCCATGGCTTGGAAGAGATAAATTTGTAGAAGAAATTAATTGGTGAAGAAGAAGGATTGTGAAGAGTTTGAATTTATCCTCCATTTATAGGCCAAAATAGTCAATCATTCAGCCAAATAAGCATAGTCCACATTTGACAGTTGCCCTAACATTTATCTTCTTTCCAGAATTTTTCATAACCTCCTGATGACTCAACAGTTGCTGACAGCTCTACACAGTGATTCGGTGCAACATCATTTCATAGCATCACCTACAACATAGAGCAAAGCTACAATATTAGTGCACCATATTCAACATAAAAATAACAAAAATAACTCAAGCTCCACCAATTATTCCCATAACACAAATAATGCAAAATATGCTAAAATAAATCTAAAATATTCCTAATATGATCTTAATGGCGCTAAAGTTCAAGCTTAACCTAGGTAAAAAGATCTTAAATGATAACTCTTTTAAAGAGTTATCACACCCTTAAACCTAAATATTTGTTTTTACTCAACTAACAACATGCATGAAATGCAATTACTTCTAAACAACAATTCTATATGATAATATCATCAAATCAAATCAGAGTTTAACTTCCTTTTTTCAGCCCTTTGTATATTTATTGCTGCAACATTAAACATAGTATAAATATGATCTCAAATTAGAGAATGTAGTGTCAACTTATTAGAATCTAGATCCACATAATGTAGTAGTGTGCATGCTAGGTGGATTCAATCATATTTAGTGAATTTAGGAAAAAACTTTGTTCCTACTCAGTTAATGATTTTCAATGCTAGATCAATCTTCTTAACCTATAACTAATGTTGGAGCCAATTGCAGACCACTCTAGTTTATTCAATTTTTCTTTTCCATTACATTGTTAAAGCCAGATTGCGACGCCTTTAGTAGATTGGAATGTTATGCAATATCATAATTTTTTTACCAAGGCTAATTTTGGGTACCTCCAATTATATTCCTAAAAAATTCTATGATTCTTATATCTTCTAATAAAGATATGAGATTTATAGTTTAAATATTTCTAAAGTCTCTAAGTATTGAGAACATACACCTATACTGTAAAAGTTTTCTATAGATCTTAATTCTAACAAGTATCTAAAACATTTCTATGGCATTTTACAATTTACTTCTTGATCATAGGGCATCGTCAATTACCATTAAAATTTTCATTAATCTGGTAATACTAAACCTACAACATTTGGCAATTTTCATTATGATGCGACTATCATTTGGCAATTTTCATTATGATAATGCTAAGGCGAATGCATTCATGTGACTTGCAAATATTAACCCTATTTAATCACTTAAAACCAAATTTAACCAATTCAAATGATTAAATAGTTAACAATGCAATGATTATTGGCAACACATGTTTTCATATGCTACTTACTTTCGCAATACCAATGTTGCAAGAAGGAAGTATGTAATTCAATAAATTTCGTTTCTAAAAACTAGCAAAGTTACATACATAAAGATAAATTCATTTCTAGACTCATCTTATAAAAGCTACAACACATGAAAACAAAACATATAAAAACGTTTCATCGAACATATTAAGTTCAAAACCAAACAACATCCAAAATAAATAAATAAATATTGTAAGTTAATAATGTCACTTCCATTTTTCAAGCAAAAGAACAAAAAATAAATTAGAACTCCACTTGATTGTTGTTGCTACACGGCAGTGCTCCCTCAACTGCTGCTACACGTCCTTTCGAAAGATTTAGGCGGTCATGGCTTGGAAAAGAGAAATTTGTGGAAGATATTAATTGGTGAAGAATAAAGATTGTGAAAAGTGTGACTTCATCATCTTTTTATAGGTCGAAATAGTCAATCATTCATCCAAAAGGAATAGTTCACAAACAGTAAAATACTTTGTCCATTTGATTGTTGCCCTAACAACTGTCCTCTTTCCAGAATTTTCCATAACCGCCTAGTGACTCAGCAATTGCTGCCAGCTCTGCATAGTGATTCGACTTAGCATCGCTTCATAGCATCACCTACAACATAGAGCATTGCCACATCATTAGCATACCATATTCAACATAAAAACAACAAAAATAGCCCAAGTTCCACCAACTATTCTCGTAATGCAAATGATACAAAATATCATAAAATAAACTTAAAATGTTCCTAATATGATCCTAATTATGCTATATTTCAAGCTTAACCTAGGTACAAATATCGTAGATGATAACTCTTTTGGAGAGTTATCAAATAGACAAGTAGAGAAAGAATTTAGAAATGAGATTATTTAATGCTTGGAATAACAAGCTAATATATAACAAGAAGCATTTCTGTGTTCCTAAAAAGATAGCCATACATAAAGGCAAGTTCTATTTTGATAGAACTAGGACTTTTAGGCAAGTCAAACACGGTTCTCATCTATGTTTGAAATTCTAAAAAAATAAGAAGGACCCACATACCAAAATAGGCAATCCAACAAAAAAGAAATACCCTTTAAGTGGTGTTTGTTTCGCGGAAAATATCATTACCAAGGGGAATGATCTTTTCCGGCTTGGTAATGATCTTTTCTGGAATTGTATTCCCATGTTTGGTTCACTGAAAATATCATCATTACCAAGTAATAACTTATGACCAATAATAACATTTTTGGGTTAAAATGGTGAGAATTTCATTACCTCCAAATTCTTAGATAATGAACAATTCCCACCACTTTGGACACAAATACCCCTGAAATAATAAAAGTTTTTCATATAAATCTTTCTCAATTCTTATTATTCGTGTTTCACTCAAAATTATAACTTAATAATAATAATAATAATAATATACAAAGAGTTTAATTTAATAAATATTGATAAATTTAAGTAGTTAAATTTATTTATATTTTTAATATTTAGTATATTGATTATTTTGTAATTTTATAAGGTAAAAATAATATTATTGTAAACAAAAAATAATTATTTAAAATAATATTTAAATTTTGAGTTATTAAAAAATAGGTCCTATACATTAAAAATATATATTTATCCACTCGAGATCAAAATGTTATTTTTCATATTATATTATATTTCATATAAATAAATATGATACTTATAAGAATTATTGAAAATTATAAGTTTGATATACTAATTATATTAATTATATGTTAAATGTATTTTTTTCTTTAAACTTAGATAGTGTAATAATTAAAATATTTTTATAAATTTTCATTCAAATATTTATTAATTAATATTAAAGTTTCACTTGTTAAAAATATATATATCACAAGGATAATTTGATAAAATATGCATCCAAGTAATCTTATATTCGTCCAATCAAATACTGCAATCTTAAGTTCTTGATAAGCAAACCAAACAGGATAATACAACATGCCCAAAGTAATGTTATATTCTCTCAAAGGTAATCTTACATCCCATGAATGAAACAATGAACACCATGCATAGAGGATAAGTTTGATCAGGCTAGGAGTCATAGGCAAGACAAAACACGAAACCCAACACTATTGACTATTCCAACGAAATAAGGGCCTACATATTCGTCCAATCAAA